GTGCCTTCAGTTTTCACGGCAAATGAGTTAGTCATTTAGCTACTGGGCTGGAATTTAATCGTCCACAGTTTCCTACTTCTGTAAGCCCGCGATATAGCGTGACTATTCACCAAGTTTTTCATTTGGCATTTGCTTCACTCTAGGCTGGTCGACCCTTCAGGTCATGGTTTCTCATTAGAACTTCGGTATATCCATCTCAAACTTGAAACCGTTTGATTCTTCAGCTGGCGCCTACCATACATACTTTTTCTAGCCATTATCAGCTGGTCAATTTGACCATCAAATTTGCTGTATGAAAGCCGTAGTTCTCACTTACCAGTGATAAAACTTAGACTCATCTGTTTAAAAGTCAAGTCAACGTCGGTAACTTCTGTTTACAAACAAGGAAGCATTTTATTGAAAGGTCAATGGTACTACATAACAGGTTGTTTGTAGATGAAAATATGAATCAGTAGCGTTGAGTCTAGTCATTTCAAAAGCTGACAAGTGTACTATTATGAGGTAGTATTCATCACAGATTGACATCAGTTGAGGAATCATTGAAAATCTGGGAGCATCGGACACCCGGTTCGTCATAGTATACAACACGTCAACACTACGCATTCACGACGCCAACACAGATCGAACTCAGGACCTTCAGGTTTCACGGCGAATGCCTCAACCATCCAGCCATTAGGTTGGAGTTCAATTGTTCACAGTTTCCAACTTTTGTCAATTTACGATATAGCGTGACTATCACCCAAGGTCTTTAGTTGGCATCCTCTTCCTTGCTGACTGTTTGACCTTAGAGGTCATGGGTTCTCATTAGAGCTTCGTGATATCCATCTGGAAACATGTCACTAATGTCCACTATACAATAAATGTATTTTTGAAATGAACGGGAGTTTTAATTTTGAGGTCCTTTATGTATACTATTGAGAAGTCCCATACCATGACTTAAGAACTGCCCGGTGCTCCCTGGTTTTTAATAGTTCTCAACTGATATCAGTTCATGATGAATTATTATTATTTTTTCCTTGAGTTCCTAGTGGAACATAGGGCTTCAGTAGCACATCTCCAGTGCACTCTCTTCTCTGAAGTTTTTTCAACCTGGCTCCACCAGTGCCCACAAGTTATCATTTCTTCCCGACACCATCTCCTCCATGCCACCCTAGGACGCCCAGCTCGTCGTCTCCCCTTTGGATTCCACTCAAGTGCCTGGAGCGTGATGTCCCCGGGCGGTCTCCTCAGTGTATGACCAACGCATTCCATCTCCACTTCCTTCTACATATTTGTTAGGCGATAGGTTCTTGGTTGGTTCGTCACCAGTCAGAGTTCCTTCTTGCTTATTCTTCCTGGCAATCCATCTGAGCTTCAGTAACAAGCCAGCGTAGACGGAAGTTGTTGATGAATGTCTGTAGTTTGTAGGAAATGCTTTCCGTGACACACCAAGTTTCTGAACCATGTAGCAGCACTGACTTGACTGCTATTGGTGTTGAAAATGCAGACCTTGTTCATACTTTATGCTGAGTGCAATGCAGTAGATCTCCACATTGATTTCAGATTAATGAAAGCCTGTCTTGCTGTCTTTCCGATCCTGGTTTTGATACGATACGGCCTAGGTAAATGAAAGAGACTACTTCTTTTAGGTTTCTCCCGTTCATCATGATTGGTGCCTCTTGTTGTTGATGCTGTTGTTGGTTGGATATCTTCATCACCTCTGTCTTCTCTACATTCACTTGAAGTCTCGTTTTCGTTACTCTGCCTCTTCTATCAACTTGTTAGTGTTGACGATGAATACTACCTCAAAACTAAAATCCCTATTCATCTCAAAAATAAATTTACTATTAATTTAAAAAAAGTTTTATATTCAACTATTGAACAATGTACAAACACATTAGTCTTACACTGGCTCCTAATTAACCTACCAGCTTACATTAATCGTATTCATATAACGGTGTCTAGACTATTATTCCCCAACTAACAGACAAATAGCTTTCAAGTTATAGAGAAAAGATATCTCACCCTAGAGTCTGAATCACCACTATCTTTGTATTCATACTTTCAGATCACACTACATATAATCGTGGTTGATAAACACTGTGTTTATTGATACTGTCATTTCTCATACATACTGAGCTTATTCTATGATAATGTTTTAAGGAACTATATTGAACGACTGAATAATTATTACATTATGAGTTCATTTAAGCTAAAAAGCTATGAATAGCCAGAGAGTACTAGCCTGATTGTTTACACTAAGAATACGCTATGGTTTATCTGATCGCTAGCAGTAGAGTCCATGAAGTGTATTTCACCCCATTTGTGACTCATCAGTCGGATGCAGCTACATTAGGCCACTAAGACACAAGGGTAACTACTTTTGCAACAGATATCAGTTGTCGTTCATTAATACTCGTACAATTTGATGTTAGATAATGTGTTAACAATACCAAGAAGTTCGGAATAACAGGAATCCAGTATCTTCTCCCTTACTTCTTGGTTTTTATAGGTCATGATTATCATGAAAGTTATCTTTGAAATTATCTTCATCTTTTTAATTTAGTAGTATTTGTCTACACCTGCTATATTATTCAATCCTTTTAAGTTGTCATTTCATTATATCCCACTTATTACGTAATATGATAACACTTTCAAGTGATCACGTTTCAGTCCTTCAGAGTTTTCAACAGGTTAAATTATGATCGATGAGTGAACTCACTAACTTTATAAAAAATCAATATACGGGTAAAGTTTTCTCTATTTTATCACTCTTTTTTTCAATATTTTTAAAATGTGTTTAAGGCAAGTAGGAGGGTGCTGTGGCTTTTTTTTTTCAATCAAAGCCACCATTTCATATTGGACGATAGGGGGGTTGGTTTTTTTTCTTTAAGCTGGATAATTCAATTAAATACTCAAGAAAAGAAAACCGATCCCTTTCCAAAAATGGGCATTGTTTATAAGGGTGATGACTATACTTCAAAGAAAACTTGAACCACTCAAAGATTTGAACAGCCTGCATTGATGTAATCTATGCAATACTTTACCGAATGATCTATGACACCAGGTCTTAGTTTCATTCAAACCACTCAGTGTCTTAATTAATTGTTATATTACCTAATACCTGAAATGCACCAATTCATTCTCCTTTCAACTAGTCATCAGGTCAAGACTCCTCATACTAATATGAGTTCAGGTAAATTAGATAGGTGAAACCTTAAATGATCACTAGACTATGGGAAGTAATCTCACTTGACTTATTTTTCCAAAAGTGCATCATTTAGAACTTTCATTCTTAATTTACCAGTGATTGAATAATTTTTTCAAGTTTATGTTATCCCTAATAGGAGGATAGGCTAAACTATACCCTTTAGAAGATGAATAAAAATAAATTTCCTGTGTCTAAACTTCACTTTCCTAAAACTGAAAATTATTATTTCAAGTTACTAATCATCGTAGACTGAAATCAGTTGGCGGAACAAAGGAAACCTGGAAGCACTGGACAGCTGTTTCGTCCTCAGCAATACACACCCTGGTGGGGTCGTTGGTGCGCACTGCTGAGATGTCATATACTAGGACGAAACAATTGTCCAGTACTCCCAGGTTTCCATTGTTCCTCCAACTGATGTCAGTCTACGATGAATATTAACCTGAAATATTTCTAAATCCCCATAACCTCGTCAAAATTTAATTTCTTTTAAGCAATTAAATACAAAAACCTTCTGTGAAATCTGTAACTAGTTTTAACAGTCTCAAATATTTATTGAACAAGTTAATCTTTTCGTGTAGATCAGGTTAAAACACATATACAGCAAAAGTTTGCTAACGTGGTGACAAAAAATGTACAACAAGGTAAACACAAGAGAAAGAGTAAAACTATGATAGCAATAGCAAACACTTCGGGGGAAGAAAATACAGAATGTAGGTCAGGATACGGAGGATAGAGATTTTCATTTATTGACAAGCTTGTTATTCTCAGTTGTTTTACTGAATCAAATTGTTTGACATCTATTGACACATGGGCTTCTATGAGGATGCCTCAATACTACCTGAATGTTAGTTTGGTTAGTTGTGGCTAACAGAAGAATCCAGGATGCTCGTTTCGTCCTATTTAGGACTCACCAGGTGGATGTATCTGCATCCCAGTGAGTCATGTTGTTCCCACTGAGACCTAAACCTCGTACCCATTGCTTCAAACGCCAAGACGTTATCCATTATATCAGTGAGGCACGATAGCCACTTTTTTTACAACTGGTATTAGTTATTACTATTTGTTGATATACTTGTAATTTTCTATTGGTTTACTGGATTGAGTTGTTCGACCTCTATTCGCATATGAGTTCCTATGCGGATGCCTCGATATTCTCTGAGTATTCATTAAAATAATTTACAACAGAGAATTACAAGCATACCAACAAAAAATAAAATACAATGAATGTTATAGCTATTTCAGTTGATGGTGTACAACCGGCTCAATTAACTGACCTTCTGTACATAATATTCCAAGTCTAATATCAGTATCACTCACCTGATGACTTAGCTACTAACATCGATGATAACAAAGTATCTATGATTAGATAAGAGTTAGTTAGGAAGTTTTCCAACTTTATTACAATGTCCCACATTCATGTACCACGAAAGAGCCCAACAGTGAGTAATCTTTGACCAATGATCACACTTGCTTCACAGACCACAATGAGATAGCCTACACTACTGTACGTGACTCAAGTAAGTACTTCTTCATATATTAACTATATGAGACAGTCAAGTAGCATTAAAGTGTTCAAAGAAACAATGCATTACAGATCTTCAGAAGATGTGAATGTTACGTAACTGCTAAATCTTTCAAATCCTATATTAACTAGCCTATTAAGGTTTTACACTGAAAAAAGCTGGAACCCTACACCTTAAGTTTTAAAAACATGTAGTTATAACAGCGCTAACTGTCATTATTAACTTCTATATCACTGATAGAAAGAAACCAGAAAAACAACTAGATAGAATGATCATGTATCAATTACCTGTTGATGTTGTTCCATTTGTTTCAATAATAATTGTCTTTTCTTATCTTTACATCGTTTATTTTGAAACCAAACACGAATAACACGTGGACTTAAACTTGTCATTTCAACTAACTGTTCTTTCATTAATGCATCTGGTCTTGGATTTGCAGCATAGCATGTTCTTAATGTATGCAACTGTTTTTCATTCAATACAGTTCGAACCTATCAACAAGAAGTTAATGAATTAATTGTATAGAGAATTAAAACAAAATACATTGTATAACATTCAATGTTCAATTTTGGTTTCATCTGAATCTGAATTATATTGAAAACTACTTTGACAATACATGATGTCTATTATTGATGGACGGTGGCTACTAGCGAAATCCAGGACGCGTTTGGTCCTATTTGAGACTCGTCACCTGGATGTGTCTGTCTCCTAGTGAGTAATATCCTTTCCATTAAGACTCAACTTCGGGAAGGATCGCTTGAAACACCAAAGCGTTCTCCGTTGAGCCATCGAGTTATGATGGCTACTTCCTGTGTAACTGGTATAGTTTTAGTATTGTTACTTATATTATCCCGTCGTTGACTGGACCGAATTTGATCGGTCACTATTGACATATAGGCTCCAGCACGGATGCCTCAATATTGCTTGTCCTTTCAATTTATGTTAATGATAGATAGTGGCTACCAGAGGAACCCAGGACGCGTGTTTCTTGCTATTTGGAACCCGTCAACAGGATGTTCCTGCCTAATACAAGTAACAACATGAGTCTAGTTATTCGATACTTGGATGACTTCGTATATTTAGTTTCTTTTGTTATGTATCGACAGTCTGCTATAGTTAACGCATTTAGAAACTAAAAGAATCCCGCGGAGAGTATTCTGAAAGTAGAACAATGTGCCTACCTCTTGGCTGCATAATTTTAAGTACTAAATATCACATACTATGCATACGTAGAGTTAATAGTTCCTTTGTTAAGCTGTACTGAAAATGATTCTTAAGTTTTTGCTGAAAAGTTTCACCATGAAAACTTAGGAACGCAAGCAACAGAACTAACTGAAGAGATACAGTCCAAGCTGAAAACGCTTAGCGTTATAACGTGGAGAACCATTGGCAATCTGCAAGCAATGGACAGCTATTCTGCCCTAGTATGGTGCTCCCAAACGGTGGGCACTCAAGACTCCACCAGGGGTCGAACCCAGGACAGCAAGGTCTCAAGATGAGTACCTTACCCCTGATCCACTTAATCGAAATTCAGTGCTCCATATTTTCCTACTTATGGATTCCAGTCCACTAACTCTGTGGTAATATACTCAGTACGAAACTTGAAGATGCTGGGTTCGATCTCTGGTGGGGATCGTGAGTGCCAACTCCTATTGAGTCCCATGCTAGGATATAGCAGCTGTCCAATGCTCCTAGATCTTCAGCTTTGTTCTAACTGATATCAATTTACAATAAATACTACTTTTACACGAAAAGTGTTATAGGCTCAAAGAATAACTTGTCATGAAAACAAAAATGTTTAGCGTTTTTTAAACAATAGACTCACTCTGGTTGTCTTTTGATCCTTTGACCGTTTACTTCCTCCTGATTTCCCTGATGATGGTCTAGATCCTCCACCTCCACCTCCAATACCATTACCATTACTTAATCCACCGATTCCACGGGATATAACCACACTATGAACTACTTCATCGCCTATGCCGCCTGTAACACTTGTACCACTGCTTGAACTACCAGTAAGGCTTCCACTTCCACCGATTCCAATCATAAGGCTTTGATTTAAATTTCCATATATATGAGAATGATGATGGTGATGATGATTTAATCCACCACTGCCAACAGGCATTGAATTAGAACCATTTAATGCTGTACCACTTTCTGATAGTCCTGTTGTATTCGATTCACTCATACCAAGAAGACTAAAATCTTCATCTTCACGGCTTAATTCATCACTACTGCCAGACACTGGACTATCTAAAGTAGGGAAAGATTGAGACAAAATAAAAGTTTATTGTATATTGTATTTCGTTCAATGTTAAATGAGTTTCTTTGAACACATTAATTGCTTTCCCTGAATAGTTTTGTTAAGATTAATTATTTAAAATTGTTTGTTTTTACATGGGAGGATATTCAGAAGAAGCGAACTGAAAAGAGAAACAAAGCGGATTTTTTTTCACAGTGAATGAAGATAAACTACATGTATTCTAGTAGTAGTGCGGCGGCCTACTTAAACCTTGGGCTACCAAATTTATCCACCGAACATTTTTCATCATATTCTCTCCTTTCAATTTGCTTTAATCATTTGATTACGTCCTTTGAATGTATCATGTACTCTTGCACATTTTTCAACTCTCCCTTTATCAAGTCACTAACAAAGCAGAGAAAAAAATGTTACGTTATATACAAATAGACTTTTCAATGCACAAAAGTATATTGTATTTCTATCCTTTAGATGCTTAGCTTGAGATGCAGATTTTTGTACTGTCTGAATGGACCAACACTACCAAAATTACGCTTGCACTTCTGTTGATTCTTCATTATGGACCAGACTCCCATCCAGAATCAGCTGGCTATTTCACATTATTGCCTTCAATACTGCGATTATTAACATCATTCCGATGCAGTAACCATTTTATCTGAAAGTATTGTTCTGTTAAACAATTACATCCCGAGAACTCCTTACTATCATACGTATTGTTTGGAACAAGGCGGTTGTTATTATTATTATTATTATTAGTAGTAGTAGTAGTAGTAGTAGTAGTAGTGTAGCAGTAGTAGTAGTAGTAGTAGTAGTAGTAGTAGTAGTAGTAGTAGTAGTAGTAGTAGTAGTAGTAGTAGTAGTAGTAGTAGTAGTAGTAGTAGTAGTAGTAGTAGTAGTGAAAATTGGTGTTTGTCTATTCATCATGGCTTCCGATAAAATTGAAGCACTTGTGGTGAATTGAGTCCACATAACCTCCTTGAATTTATTTTGGCATAAGCATTTAGATTTGGATAACCCGAATATTATCAAGATTTCCTTTCATACTTCTAAATGCCAATCAGAAAACTTAAACGATCTGTCTACTAAGACTATTATAAGTGGGCCACTTACTCGATGAGGTCTTCATATTTTCACTCTAAGAAATTCATCACAAGTCAATGAGTGGTGATATAAAAAAAATTGAGCGGCGGTGGGAATCGCACCAATAGTCTTTGGGTTACCGACCTGTCAGTCTACCTCCTGAGTTACAAGACCTAGAAGCTGACTTGATCATAACTTCATTTCAGTCATGAAGAGTTTTATTCAGTTGTCACCTGAAACGTATTTCTCCATTCTGAGTAATCATTCAATTTACTAAACTTCGCCTTCTCACTCCATTCCAAAGAGATCCAAATTAAGCTGGACAGTATCGGATTGATCATTGGTGGACTATATGCGCTGTGATTTAGCACTCTGATAATAGTGACATAGGTTAGATGACAAAAGATGCGACAAAAACTTGAGTGGCAGCAGGAATCAAACTATTAGTCTCTGAGTTATGAAATCCAGCTGTTGAACGAGTTTATTTACTTAATTAAATTCTCTAACTGATCATTTATAAAGGTGTTTCATGAATCCAAAATATTTCAGTAATTAATATGGATAAGTCAAGTTGTTTTTGGCGAATTCCATTTCCAATTTGTTCTCATTCATCTGAAAGTTTTCAAATCATCATCGTTATCATGATAAAAGGGGGGTGATGGTGGCAGGCGGTAGAATTCGAAACGTAGGCGCTTCTTTCAGTATAAAACATTATTATACTATGATTAGTCCTGTTGAAGAATAACCTAAATGGACAATATATGTATATGACCAGTTAACCTGTTAGAAAATATGACATCTTTTTGCTCAATGTCCATTTACACACTTTATGTATATGAATGAAATAAAAGATAAAATTTATCGTATCAATTAATCTAACTACTTTGCTATGCTATGTCATACCTTCTCAGCCAATCCACTTTATTCCACTACTACCCCTTATACATGAGTAATGATTTCCTGTCTAAAAATGAAACTGCTCAACTTTCACTAATGCTACATCATCTAAAGGTAACCTCAGATACGCATGCATACAAAAATTTGTTGACAAGTAGACTTATACATTTTATAGTCATATCTACACACAAATATACTATGTTGTATCAGATTTATTTATTCTCGTACGTATTAGTTTATTATTTATCTACCCATTCATATCACCACGATAATTTACACTATTTATTTATTCTACCTTTGAATATCAATCATGTCACATTAGTAAATATTGTCATAAATAATATGAGTGAAATAAATGATCGGAATACGATATGTGTGTGCGTACATTCAAGTATGCGCGGACAGGTAAATGTCATTCGACTGATTTATAAATTCCTCCCTTTTTTTAATATTGTTGAAGTTCCTCTTAACTGACCTTATTTACAAACAGTTTAATGGAGAAACAATCATATGTTTTCCTTTCTCAATCTATCGAAATAAATAAAAGGCTTTTAATTAACTTGGTAGTGGCTAGCAATAGGACCCAAGAACCAGGACTCATTAGCTGAATTCACCTGCACCTAACTGACTAGTGTTATTCTCACTGAGACTCAAACCTCAAATAGGATAGAACGCATATCCTAGATTCCACACTGCTAACCATGAACAAACCAATTCTAACAATTAAAAATTCCCACAATATCAAGGCATACAAATAACAGCCCATTTGCCAACAGATGTCGATTAATTTCATTTAAATCGTGTACATATTCAGAATTCAATTGAGCTAAATTACTCTAGTGCTCATCAGTTACTTGCTTTCAAATCAGATTTTCCGACTGTCTAATCAGAAGTCGTGACCGATGAGGTAAACTAAGTCTGACATAAGAACAGTTACTCAACAATGATATTGGATGGAAGTTGCGCTATGTTGTGAACTAAAAGAAACAGGAAATATGGACTACTGGATGCCAACAGGGTGACTCATTGCTAACATACTAGCCACAGAACCTGAAGATCTAGTGCTCTCAGGTTTCCAAAGGTTCTTTAACTGATGTCGTTTGACAATGAATGTCAACCTGAAATCCATATTCACAATCCTTTCTTTTTTACTGGTACCTTGGCTCGCACAGTAAGCTCTACAAATGTATACTTCTATGCCTGTTAATATTTCCAATGAAAGCAGTTCTATTATGAATAATCGAATGTTTTTCTGACCAAGAACTAAACTAGCCTCACCTGTTTTGTGCACGAGATATTACGCCACTCAACTAGTCAATGTTTATGTCTTGATTATTTTAAGGGTAATATGTAAGATGTTGTGCGAAGGGATTTTAAGTTTCAAATAAATCACGAATTTTCGCAAATTCGCACATATGATTTCCTCATGAAAGTGTATCCAGTTGACCAAAATTGACGTAATTAGAAGTACGAGCAGTCTCAGTAGTGTTGTTCATGAATAATTGTTAGTTACATTACACTTTTCTATGCTTGCTGATTAATACTTCCCTCTATAAACATCAGCCACTTCTATAAATTCAATTGGTGGCTTATGAGTTTTAACTGAATTTCAAAAGATTAATTTTCACAAGTTGATACTAGTAACTGAGTTACTTAAAACCTTCTATATGTATCTGTCTGCTTCGTGCTAATGTAGGAGTCCTCATGAGCGCGCACCCAGAGCATCATGAAGGATAAGTCCCAAGATCATCAGCTCTTGTTTTAATCAAGTTACGCTTCGGTCACTTAGTTTGAAAGTCAACTTTTTGATGAATAATGAAAAACATACCAAAAACTGCATATGTAAATTAGTAACCTTGAGGAAACTAATCAATCCAGTTCTACAGAAGATCAATAATGACCCAAATATATCATAGGTAAAAATGATGGAGACAATTTGTAGTTCAGGAGGAAGATTTTGATAACGTTGTATTCACAAATGAACTAGAACACTTGATTCAGTTATAACGAACTAATTGAAAGTCTAGTATATACTAGTCATGATAAAAAAACAAACGAGTAATGAACATTCAGCTGAAAATGCCATATTGTTTATGTTTAGCTGGTCTTGTGATCTACACATGATTAGTGTAATAAAGTTCAGTCAGTCAAAGATATTTGTTGATTGATTCTACAGTTAAAAAGAGAGTAGGAATTACATGTATACTTGGACACGTCAACATTACGTCTTTTTTTGCTCGCTCGTAGTTCTCTTATGCACTTTAGACAGCAAAATTTCTGAGATGAAAGTATCTAGGTAGTCAGCGCTTAATACTTTTGTAATACAGCCATTCCTACATATTTATGTCACTATTTTATACTGATCACTAAAGCCTCTCAAAAATTTCCTTCAATTATATCTTATACTCGTACACCTACATGTATACAGATGTTAAGATACGTATATAAAGTGTCATCTAATTGTGACTAATATTACTACTATTACCATCATTGTTATCATTACAATAACTATGCATATTTAGAACATTTATAAGAAAACAACTGCTTTTACTGAAAGTGGTTAAACATTACCCACCGTGATGTTTTCCTCTGGATAGTACCGATGCAATTAATACTATTGTCGGTAATCTACCTACACACATGCACATATACACACATACACAGATGTATATAAACGCATCGAGTGACAAGTATTTTTTTTTTTTGAAAACAAATAAAAGGGTAAAACTTCAAGGTGGTCTTGTTCTCTCCTCTCTTCTCTTCATTTATGCTTCTTTTTCTTTTAGTAAAAGAAGAAGAAGAAATTGTAGATAGATCAAGAAGAAGGCAACATGAAGAAATAAAGAAAGTAGAACCTGAGAGAAAATCGGAAAAATTTTCAAGGCGCCCTCATCAATACCTAGTAAATTAACTTCTTGTATTTATAAAAGGGGAAGTAAAGAGGTTTGTTTTTCTTTTCTATTGAAAGTTTTATATTATACTGATTATTAAAGTCACCAATTAAGCTATTAACAAG